CGACCAGTCTTCGGTCAGTATCGACAGACATATGTGTCCATTGCTGTAGACGTGGGGATGGACTGGAATGTTGGCGCCCATGAATGTCACTTCCGGGGAATCAAACGGGTATTTCGGACTGAATACACGAAATCACATTCAGTTCAGTCATAATACGAGTCATAATACGAGTGAAAACACTGTGGCGTCCAGTGATACCTGAATTTAAAGAGCAGTTGGAAGTGCTCGCCCTCATAGAGAGTGCCAACCGGACCATCGATGTCGACAATCCATCTGTAGGTGGAAAGGGGTGTCAATCATGTCATTGCATATCATGTATTGAATACTGTGTCAGATTTGGTCCGATATTCGACTCATTCACTGTCACTCCTATAGCCGTCAAAGACAAACACATTTCAGACAATTATCATTGAATGGCAAATGAATGCAAACCAATGGGCGGCTCCTTCTGAATGGCCAGCAGTTCCTTCTGAAGACGTTTCTAGAAATCAATGCAAATGTCAAACAAATGCATGTAAATAATGAATGGACGGATCAGCTGGTGGTCACTGTGAGCCATACCTGCATCGATGCCATCGTGTGATTCAAGTGGTGGTCAATACATCTATCATATGATAAATATATAATACTATGAATTGAAAGCAAATTAGAGTTAATGTAGTGTTGAATGCAATGAATGACTCAATGAGTGGTAAATGTGTTGACAATTACAGACACAACACAAACACATCCATCCATTGACTGTCAGTAAACACAACTGTTTCGCACAAATACTACATTAGGTTACGTTCACCAGTCATACAAACATTGAGTCATATTTGTGCCAAATGTTCATTACGTCAGTTGTGGTCAATATATCATTGCATTCAATGCGAAATATAAACATTAAACACATTTAATCCATTTATTATCACCATTAAGACAATTATATTGAGCCAATGGATCACCAATTGTACACTAAATTGTTTATAAATTGGTTAAAAATAACTAGAAATGAAAGTAAGATGATCTGGTTGCAATTTGCACACAAAATAAGGTAACATTGTATGTGAAGGGCATAGCAATGCAAACCACATCCAAGCAATAAAAAGCGATTTTCTATGAAATTAGTGTTAAATGCATTGAAATTCATTGATTTGATTGTGTTTTGCAAACAATTGATTACTTATTAACCAAATATAATTTATACACAAAATGTTTCCCATATTTCGAAAGCAATTAATTAAAACATTAATTATTAATAATTTATTGAAAAAGAGCTCAAAATGTGTTAAATTGAATGAATTGTCAACAAATCAACTGCTGATCCGATATATACAGACATCGGAACTGCTTTTTGGTATGTCTTTGAGTGTCCCATAAGTGGTGTATATAATGATATGGTTTGCGTGTCATTAAAGGTACGAAAGGTATACCCATTTTGATGCCATCCCTGTCGCCGACCATGACTTCGGGAACTATAGTCAAGTGGGTTAAGAAAGAGGGCGAACCCATCGGCGCCGGTGACCTCATCTGCGAGGTTCA